TGCTCTGTAATAGGCCTTGGCTAGGGAGCACTGTAAAAGCAGTTCTGGCCCAAGAGATGACACAGAATTGTTCTGCTACTCACTCTTCACTTATTCAGTATTCCTAAAGTTAAGAGAGTTGCTTCTCTGGTTTAAGTTAACCATATGCTTAAATATTTTCCTGAATCAAGGTCTAAATTACTGAAGTAAACAGTTGCAGCTGTAAATATTTAACACGGAACAGACATGTTGCAAAAGAATTTACCATTCAATCATTTTTCACTGTAGAAATGCATCTTGAAGTAAAAATAGAAATACAGTTTTGTACCAAAAAGATGCTGAAACAATTTCTACTCAAACTTCTTCTGGCTTGAGACCAAATATGCAAAGTTCCTGCTGGAAAGAGTAATTTCTCTATTAGCATGAAAACAAGGCAAATTTAACTATATGTTAAACTTCACTTCAGTGCTTGTGGTGTGACTGATATTGAGATAAGCCTTAGCTCAGAAACAGAAAATATGCAGGATGGAAACAGAGATCAGTAAGGAAATAGGGAAAAAGTGGTAACACTCAGTACTGGCTTCAGTTTGTTTTAACAGGGAGATGACAGGGTAATCCTCTACGTATTGAAATGTGGGCTTTGTGTTCAAGGAAGAAGACAGAAGAGACCATAATTAACTTTTCCTGTCTCCAGGAGAGTGAGTAAGCAAATAAAATAATTCTTGTGCATCAAATGCTGAATGGTCATACCACCAAATTAAAGGGTAGAGGCAAGAGTACTTGACACTCTGAGGAATTTTCTCTGAAAGTTAATTCTAAAACATTAATGTTTTGTGCTTAGGACCAGAGGCAGTGGGCAAAAGTGGGATGATGGGAAATATCCATTTGATACCTGGAAAAATTGCTTATTTCAACTATTGTTTGAACAGACTGCTCAGAGGAGTTTTGGTATCTCCATCCTTGGAAGTGTTCAACACTTGACTGGAGAAGTCACTGAGCATTCTGCTCTAATTAGACTTGTTTTGATAACTTCAAGAGGTTCCCTCCAAATTCCCATATAACTCTATGAGACGTTGAATAATAACTGTGAGGTCTAGACTTCCTTGGAGTTCAATAATACAAGGAAATTTAACTAGAAGTAATGCAGGAAGTTGGACTGCTTGGAAAGAGTGAAGGAACTTGACTAGAACTAGCTTGGAGAGGTAGGTATTCCTTGTTTCTGATTGTAGTCATACTTGTCATGCACCTGTTGGCAAGCCATATAATTTGTAACCTGACAGCTGAACGCTTGCTGCTCCATTTCCATCAGCCAAAGATAATGCTTCTGTCCTATCTGAAATCAGTATTTAGATATTTTCATTAGAGCAGAAGTGCTCATGAGCTTTTCAAAGCATCATTGATAACTCAAAAATTATCTTCTAAGTTGTTCTGAAACTTCAAGATCAAAAGAATTTTTGGCATAAAAAGTTCCTGTTGAGCAAGACAGAATAAAATATTATTCTGGAGAGCAGTAGATATTATTCTATCACATTTTTCTGCAATTTGGAGGAAGGTAGAGAGTATTTATCTGCTAATGAGATAAGGATTCAGATCTACTGAAATTTTTATCTTGCTACTATTAGGCTTGTTTTTTACCTACTGTATGCCTTGGAGATTGTCCAGTTTTTTATTATTTTTTTAAAAGCTCTTATAGGCTGTTGGCTTAGGATCTGGGCAAACAACAGAAGATCTTTCAAAACATATCCTTTTCTGCTTCTTTCTAACACAGTGTGCACTCCCTAATTCACATTGGCATAGAGGTCAAAGGATAGATGTTGGAGGTGGCAACATCACACCACAGATGCCACTTTCTTATCTTAAAAATCCATAATTTAAAATTCTGTAACTGAAACTAATCTGAGCTTCTGTTATATTCTCACTGTTCTAAAGAAGTCATAAAATATCAGGTTGTCCACAGCTCTAGATTAATGTAAGAAGAAATGATCAATGTTTTGACATTATCAACATGCTGATATTATCCTAGTAATGAGGTGCTATAAGTAGAACATTCCAGTTTAGAGCTATCTCAGTAGGGTATTATTTTTTTTACAGGAAAGAAAAAAGAATATTAGAAATATTTCCAATTATGTATGTTTTAAAAAGCTTGTCAGAAAAATCTCCTTACCTATATACGCAAAATACCAGGAGATAAAGTCCAGTACATAAACCCGGCTACTTTAAGTTGCTAAAGCACCAAAATGGGATAGGAAGACTTCTGCCTGTTCTATCAATGATTTCTTTAGTGACCTACAGCAGCTAATAGATTTTATCCCTGCTTTCATTCCCTATCTCCACAATTTTATGCACAAACACAAGGCTGGAGAACTTTGCTCTTTTTAGAAAGGGAATAATTTTGCTCTCATTAAGAATCCTACTTACTTCAACATCTAATCTCTTAATAAGTTTGGCCATACTCAGAAGAGATGTTGTTTTACCTTTCCGAGAGAGTAAAAATAGAAGTAGTTTGGTATTGCCATCACAGACTGTTAGTCTCTTCAAGCTATTCAACTTCAAGCATATCAAAATTCCATATTATGGAAGCAGTAACTAAGTTGAGCTACATTCAGCTTAACATTACCTTTTCTGTATGATAATAATGTGAAGAATAGTCCTCCAGCAATTTTTCTTTTTGGTTCCAGCAATTAAGTGAAACATTGGGTAGTGGTTATTGAAGTATGCAAAATTAGGACAACACTGCCAATCTGCGCTAATTATTTTTTATACAGTTGTATTTATCTAATTTGAGCAGATTTCTTGGGCTTTGTATTTCGTGATTATTCTTGTGACTAAACAACACTGGGATGATGCTGAGGCTGGGATAATGTTTCTAGTCAACAGTCATAGAGCAAATCAATTTCACCTTGGATCTATCTATTACACATTCTTACAAAATATCCTGAGAATCTTCTCCTGCAAGCTGCATCTGTATCAAGGCATTTCATTTGACATGTTCACCTGAACAGAGCCTAAATCCTAACCTTCCATTCATCCAGATGGATGAGCTAGCTCAATATTTTAGTTAAAGAAAAAGGAACTTCAGTGCCTTTTTAACGCACAGAAACATGCTATCTTGGTTTTCAACTGCATAATCCTTTTGTCTGAAAACAAGAACCCAAGTACATTTCAGAGAGATCATATTTTTCATGTGGTTTATGGAACACTTATAAACTGGGACTCCTAACTGTGATTCCCAAACACAAAACAAAGTCAAAGGTTACAGCATATGTTTTTGCTTCAGCTTCTCCAAATTACTTGCAAATGTATTCAAACACAATAAGAGGAGATACTTTATTTTATTGAAAACAACAGACTACAGGGTGCTGCAAAAAAAGGCTGAGGTACCTCAAGCATAAACATGGAAAGAATACATTGGTTCAGAAACCCATAAATCCTTATTTGAATCTGCCAACCTGAAAGCCAAGTAAGGCTCGAAAAAACTATTTTTCCTAAATGCTATGTCTGATTAAGCCATACTATTAAATGACAGCTGAACTTTAACATTAATATGATATTATTTAAATAACTGCACGATTTTTTTTTGCACTAAAATGATGAATGATTTTTAGACAGCTCAATTGACATAAAGCAAGAAACCCCTTTAATGAGATTTGACAAAATGGAGACATATGCAGAATATTCGTTACAGCTCATGTCGCAGGATCCTTCCTGGGGAGACTTGGGCTGGGTTCTATCTTTTCTTTCTTTCTTTTTTTTATATATTTTATTTTAGTTTGATTGTCTACAGGCACTGAACCATCCCTTTCAATTGCCATTTTCTTTCTCCATGGATTTTGAATTTAGTTCTTGTCATTTACATATTACTCTTAATCAGAGAATTTTATATGTTAGTTTGGAGCTGCAATTGTAAGAAATCTGTGGAATGAAGGCATTGGGTTCAGTCCTTTCAACCTTTGTCAACTGGATATACAAGGCACTAACAAAGACATTTGTCTGAAAAGACTTATGAAGACATAAAGCTTGCACTAAAGAACAACTTAATATATTCTGGTTTCACTGTTTTCCAAGACAAGCGATAAATCTACAACTCTGCTAAAACTTACTCTAAAGCTAATTGCATTAAGCAAACATGCATTGTAAAAGCCCATGAGAAGAGTAATTTCATAGTGAATTCTTCTGAGGATGTCATATACTCCTTTAAAACTGTACGTTCATATCACCCAACAATATCACCTATTAGAGTGATGCACATCCTCATCAGGAAGATGAATAAGAATGCAGAAATATGGACATTACACCTAAGTCTGAGTGCTGCTTCACTGTGTATTCCGAGATGCCACTCAAAAAGTCTGTCTGGGAAGGTAATGACAATGAATTTAAGGTAGAGGGTAGTCATAGGTGACTCCCACACTGTGATCCCACTCAGATTTTTAGGATGTTGTGATTTTTTTTCCCTCCGTATAATCTAGCTTTAATGCCACAGACTGTTGGCATAACTTCTAAGCCATGAAACAAACATGCTGAAAACACGGAGTTGTACAACGTGTCTGCTCAATTGATTCAGACAGAACTGATCACCTTAACTTTTTCTCTGTGTATAAATTTATATAGTTCCCAAAAAAATTATGAGCTTCCTCACATACAATCTAACAGGTTAAAGAAAAAAAAAAAAAGTGAAAACCCTGAAATATTCAAGAAAAAGGAATGTGGGAAATGATCATCAAAAAAACTTAATTTTAGAACAGACCAAAAAAGCCCAAATACAAAGAAACAAGATGAGAAATGACTGAGCAAGGGGTAATCCCTCAGGCTACAGAAAATTCTTTCCATAGCTGTGACAAAACCTTCTATCTAACCTGCCTGCTTCATTACCACAATTCATTTGAAGTAATTCTATATAGCAGCTCAAGTAAAAAAAAAGTCAGGTAAGTCAGCAAAATGTGGAGGCTGAATTAAAAAGAAAAAGGCATAGAGGGAAAGAGGGAATAAAAGAAAGAGTGGAAGTGTCCCTACCTTAGCCTTACCTTCGCAACATCCCTGTCAGTATTCTGGAGCTCTTTCCCAGGTTTGCATCTGTTTCTCTAAGCTGGGGAGAAAAGAGTTCCATTAAAATTAAATGTCACGTGAATGCCATTTTGTACAAAAAATGCAGATTTCTTCTGTCAGTCTGTGGGCTTCAGTTTGAGCCTATAACAAACTCATTAAGTTAGAAAGCCACCAAAGTTCTGAAATTTGAAAACGTTTTGTTTGGTTTTCACTTTCACAGAGCTGAAACCAATGGAAGATAAGACACTGAGGCAATAAAGATAAATCAGGACATAGAGGAAAATCCTTATGAATAATGTGTTGAAGGTAGATATGTTTGGAGCTTGATTATCCTTGAGGTCCCTTCCAATCCAAGCCATTCTAGACACTGTATAGATTGCTATCTGCAATGGTAATTCCCATTGAGGTGCACTATGTACATTGGTTATAGACATTAGGGAGTGCATGAAGGGATGAAGAGGCAGCCATGTGCTGTGTTACTGATGCTTTAAGAAAGGAAAACTAAACACATCTTTCACTGTTTTTCAAAGTTATCTGTTTAAAGAAAAAGCAATAATACAGAATGGTCATTTTACTGATTCTGTGTTCAAAAATACACCCACATTATCCCTTAAATAGAAAACCTGTGATGACCTTACAGCAGTGTTTTTAGTACTTTAATAGGACACAGGAAAGCTACATGGACAGCTTAACTTAATTAGCTGCATTGTTTTACAGTTCAGAAGTCGTGCAAAATAGGTAAAACCACAACTGAACGGAAAGCAAAAGTGGGGATACTAAGAGAATGATTATAAAGAAAATGAAATGCCTATTAAAATAGAACAATAATTTCTGTTCTTCTTTGAAAAGAATTAAATGCTTCTATTTTTGTGCTTGTTAATATCAGACAAAAGGCAGCCTAGAAATTATGAGCTACATTTCACACAAAGAATAGCGTTTCTCTCCTATTGCCTCTTCTGCTGGTAGCTAATGGAGAGACATCTTCGAACTTTCTAGAGAACTCTGAACCTGAGAGACATTAAAATGTACTGTAAGGGATATCGTAATTATTGTCAATTGCAAATTAGCAGGAACCACCATTTCTAATATGCCTCAAAACACAGCAGTGTGTAGATACATAAAAACATTTTTCTCCTAGCAAAAGCTGAATGTTTACCTTTTCATTATCAAATCATATTGAAAGGATTATCTGAATCATTGCCTTATTAGTAAAGAAATTTTGTTGTAGAAGACAAAATGAATCTTGCGTTATAAATCCATTGAAAAAATAGCACTGCCAAGAAAAGTGGTAGCCTTCCAGTAACAAATCACCTTCACCATAACAAACCACAATCATATCTTGAATATATGCATAGCACCAATATCAAAAGCAGTTGCTATTCTGGAGTCTAATATTGTAAATATCTACTACCAGATTTAATGCTTATTACTGAAATCGCTAGTTGCAACAAATGACACATAACCTTTATGTACAATTTCCTTCTTGTTCTTGGAAAAAGTATTAAGGAAGAACCAAGCAGAAGCTGAGATGGGATAACACCAACCAAGATTGCTCTTAGCAATATTGTGTTCAGTGGGAAAGCTTGCACTGAGACCAGAGCTCTGCAATTACGCAGCATGATGGAACAAGGATGAGCATTATATTCTGGGGAGATCATTCCCTCATTTTTTTTTCCTAATTCATCTAGATAATACAAGCTCCAGAAAAGCTGCTTAGCTCAGTTGGACACAAGTAAGAGGAAAAAAAAAATTACAATAATTATTAAAAGGCTCATAAGAAACCAAGTTCTTACTTGTGCTAGAAGGGAATCTGAAGCACAAATGTATGCTTTACATTGGTCTTTTATTAGTCATAAAGATGCATTTAACACTTGGGGCTTCTCACACAAAAGTAGCTCTCTCCTTTTTACCATTATATGTTTGATCCTAACTTTCCTCTCTCGCTGCAGGATTCCACCTGACAGCTCAAATCAGTTCTGATAGTTAGGAGGGGAAGTGGAACCTTGGAGGCTTCATAAAGTCCTCTAAGCAAGACGACCTCAGACTTTTATGGCGACAAAAAACAAAAACAAAATGCATCACAAAATAAGCAAAAGAAATGCTAATAAAGAAACAAACGTACAGACACACTTGGAAGATCCCAAGAGAGCACTGAAAAAAACACAACCATAAACATTTTCAAGCTGTAAGTTTGTTTTTATTTAAAACTGAATTATCTGATGGTAGTTACTCCGTCGTGTCTTTATCAATACCAGTGCAGCGCAGAAGCCAAAGAACTGGTAGTGGGCAAAACTCTGAAGCGGCAAATAATGGCAATTCTTTGCTGCAGCAAAAGCCTTTTGAAGGATGTTTTATTATTAATAATGGCCGATATATATGGTGTGCAAGAAAGCTTTTACAAATAGTAACAAGAAGAAGAAAAAAAGAAAGAAGATGAGCAAGATGCATACATTGATATCTTGCCTACCTTAAAACACATTTTAATTTAAGGTTTTGTAAAAAAAATCTTTGAAAGTCCTGCATAGTGTAATTCATCTCTTTGGCTCTCATAGCAGAGCTTTTACCCTTTCTCTTTGGCTTAAAAAAAATTAAGAAACAATTTAGGGAGTTGCCCTTTTGTGGATGTTATTACACATGTAGTTTCCCCTATATTCCAAATAATAGCAGTTATTTCTTGCTTTTCATTCAAACATTTTACTCTGCAGACAGGAAAACTCAAAATATGTAGATTTAACCAAACTATATAGACACTATTTCTCATTTAAGTTTTACTCATAAGAAAAAAATGTCTAATTTTTACAAGATTAGCTGCAAAGAACTGACCATCATGTCCAGGCTTTCATATGAAGTTTGTTCCCAAGCTGAAAGGATAACGCCGGAATGTATTCAGTGTAAACTTATTAAGCACTGATACAACACTTTCTTCCCTGGTCCTTAAAAAACCTCCACAAAATGGAAAACGAGGAAAGTTATTCAAGATCATCCCTGACTTTACATTTGAGTTCACAAACAGATGTGTTACTCTGAATTCCCCAAACAAAATAGTTCAGTAGCACACAGTAAGATCTCAGAACTTGACATCTTCCACTTATGATGAGATCTTTTGCTGAACTGTAATTGGATGCAAGTTCCTAGAGTAGTCTTCAGTTTTCCATTGAAGAAATTTGCTTCTCATGCAGAAGGTAAAAAAATGCAAAATTTATGCTACAAACTATGTGTATATGGAGTTACCAGAACTATGCTTCCTCTTTCTCTAACTTTCATGAGGATTTTTTGATTCAGCAGAAAGAGATACACATTATTCATCTTCATTGCTCAGCTTATATTTGCCCAGATAGAAACAGAAAAGCATCTCTGACTTATCAGTCACAAGGGATTGAGGACTGGAGAGGAAACGACACAGATTTGCCTCAACAACCCTTGGTAAATGCTCACAATCCCTTTACTTAACAATTTATTTGTACTTAACCTTTTAAAGTAGCTCATACCCAGAACTTTAAAAAGCAGCTGGTACAGCTGACAGAAAATGCCTCGTTAAAGCTGTCATATGGGGCTTCACCAATCAAAGCTATCCAGGTAAAGAAACTCCCTGGGACAGATCAGGGAGTTCTCTTAAGTGACATTTGTCAGAGAGAGCCCTGTGAGATGACTTAGCTTTGGCAAAATTGGACACTCAAGAAACCATCTGATCAATGGGTCCTGGACAGAAAGGCTCAGATGCAGTCATGACTGGTTCTGGGAGAGTTAGCAGAGCTGGTAAGATCTTTCCGAAACTCTGCGAGCAGAGATCAGAGCCAAAGGGTCAAATCTTTGAGACTGAGGTTCAGAGCTGATGAGTTGGTTGGGATGGGTTATTGGGCATCTTCACTAAACTCTACAAAGTAAAGATGATCCCTGCAGAGGCAACATAAGCCAAAAATGACATAGATATCTTTCTGACTGCAGTGACAGAACAGCAGTATAGGAAACTACAATACAGAAAGAAACATTGATTTTACCCATGTGACGATGAGAAAAGGAGGTAACTATTGCATACATCCTTATAAAGCAATTATTAGCATTTGCAGCTATGAAGAGCAGCAGTTGATAAATTATTGTAAGCTAAATCATGATATGAGCTTTGTTTCATAGAGTCCAAGAAGTCACTGCAATGGACACTATAATAAATCCTTCAAAGGACAGAAAGGAGATCTGACTGTGTGTGATGGCAGTGACAGCATGCTTGCAACAGTGCGTTTGGTGACTTCAGTGTGACTCCCTAGGGGAGACCATATAAGACACTTCTTAAGTGCTTTGCTGCAGATGGTGATTACATCTTACAATAGCAGCTGATTTATACAAAACTAATCAATATGCTGGACTATTTTTTGCATGCACAGCGAACTTGCCTAAAGCAAATAAAATCTGTGACCAGCAATTACTTATTATCAAACTTACCCTTTCCCGAGCACGCTGGATCTTCTCTCTGTCATGGCTGAGGTTTTCCAGCATCTCCTGTCCAATCTGCTCTGCATTAAAAAATCAAAATGCAAATCATGAAAAATATAGCTTCTGACTGTAAGGCCTCAAAATGCCAGGTTAGATAGTAACAAAGCTATTTAAAGAACAGCAGCACCTAATACATGTGATAGCCTAATCCGTCCTCCTAACTGCAAAGAGGACAATATCATTATTTCAACTTTTCCACACAACATAAAACTGCAGGAGTAACAGTCAGACCAGAAGCTGTCCCTTTGCCATCTGTCAAGGTTGCACAGGGTCTGGAAACCAATGCTGACCTTTGGTCCATGGAACAAAGTCATGAAGACTTCCAAACCTGCTCTGAGTGCTGGGAGCTTGTGCTACCCACACGCCCCTTACATCCACTCCTTGTCTTAACAAGGCAGACAGGAAGCTTTCGCTAAAACACCAGCAATCCTTTACTTCTGAAGATAGTGAGAAGTCATTTAAGAAGAAAATCTTTCTCTATGCCTCTCAGCTTTTACCATTGGTGCTTATTCTTCTCCATCACATAGCATTTCTGGCAGGTCTGGAGATGCACTGCAATGGATCTGCTGATGTCTGTAACAGCAGACATATACGTTACTCTGTTGGCATCACCATTTGTTTACACACAGGTTGCTTGTTTCCGTAGCTCATGCCGAACCAAAGGTTGCAAAATTATAGCAGAGAAAGGAATCCATGCCTCAAGACAATGCAAGATGCCAAAACTTTATTCTTCAAACAGCTTCAGTCAAATGCTCCTCTTTGACTGAAATAATAGCAGCAAGTATAGAAAAGAGATTTTAATCTTCAAAGCTCTACAGGAACATTAAGAAATCCTCCCTGTATTTCCCTGAAGGAGAAAACGAAGTTAAATCACTGCCATTTACAGGTGCGGAAGCAGACACAAGTAGCTGAAGCAGCCGTAGCTTTGCCTCAGGACACGTCGTGAGTGTGAGACATGCACGTTCAGCTGGGCTACTGAGTGAGCTCACTACCTGAGTGAAGCCATAAAAACAGGCTTTCTTCATAAACAACAAAAATCACATCTTGCCTTTGCTCTGGAAGAAGTTGGATGCAAAATGTCATTATGTGAGGAGATGTGAGAAAACAAATTGGTTAAAAAAAAAATCACCAATATGCCAGTAGAATAAATTCCTTTTTTTTCCCCAACAGATATAGTCCATTCTCAGGGAATAATCCAATCAGAATCACCCCAAACTTTTAAAATCTGGGACGAGTGATTTATTTTCCTACATGCATTTAACACAATATACACACACTGTCAGATGAAGTCTAAGGAAATTCATTACATGTATATTTCTCTATCTGTTGCCAAGTACAGTACAAGTAAGATAAATATTTCTTCAGATATCTGACCACAAATTGACATCCTCATTATGCTATCTTGTCCCTCTTGGCTTGCTGTGCTTCACTTTTAGCTGTATATATAATGCCTCCCAAAGGTGAAATGTGGTAAGATTTGTGGTTATTGAGTTAAAAAAGCTATAAGGTACCATCCATCTATACAAATGGTAGACTATGAAAGCGATTCGAGGCAGAGCTTCGCCTATGCTTGCATGCCCTAAGACTTACTGGATGAGCCCTTAAAGCTTTATTCTTATCAAAGCACTTAAAATACTGGCATACAGAAACAGATAAATGCATTCAGTGTAGTCTAGAGGAGAAGAAAAAAAAAGCAAAATACATTAAGATATAGAGGAAATCAATCAACAAATTACTAAACAAGCAGGAAGTGAAATTATAACAAATACTTCTCACTAAGAATTATACTTATGGTTGCGCAGACAAGGAGCACAAAGAGCACACCTTCCTTCAGAGGAATAATTTTAAAGTAAATGGCTACAATGGCTTGATATTTCACAAACAAAGCTTGGAAACATCTTTATAGGAAACAGCTCTATTTTTATTACACCAATTTTAAGCAAGTTACTGTGGGTTGTTTTTTTTCATCTTCTCCCTGTCACTGGCAAGTTCACACTCTTAGCTTTTTATAATGATTGAGTTTATTTTCCAACCATCAATGTGACAGCAGCATCAACTGTAAGTGAGGGTAAAACACCGTCACTTTGACGAATAGTGTATTTTCCTCTCATTGTCGATGACTGAAGACATCAATAAATAAGGAAGGAGAGCATGTCAGCCAGAATATCACAGAATGAATTGTTGATATGACACTTAGGGATTAAACCTTCAGCCATGAAGTTCAACCTAGCAGAAGGGTCTGAGAACTGAGATAGTTGCGTTTCTTCCCAGCAGCCTCTATAGATAAATAATTGGATGGATCATCAATTTTACAGGAGCAGCTTTACTCTACATGCACTTTAGCTGATGATCTTTGGCCTTTTTTGGGCTAAAATAACAACATAAGTTGAACAAAGAGATATAACGGAGGTAACATAATCTCACAATAAGTTCGCAAACATAAATTGACACCTTTATCTACAGATCCTTTTCATATCCTTGTTCTGTTCTCAGAAAACTCACTGATAGCAACAAAAGTTGATATTCTGCTGAAAGTTCACAACAGTTAAATAAAAACACTAATACATGAAGAAAATTCAGACTCACAAAATGACATGAAGACTTCTCCTCACTTGGTTTGTAAGTGAAGGTGCTCAGGACTGGAACAAAGCAACATTACCCCACAGTAAAGCTAATTATGGGCTTGATATCATTGCTATCTGCTTGCTATCGTTTCTCAGGTTTTCCAAGGACTCTGATGTTTCCCTGACAGTTAAATCAATTTCCCTTCATGTGGCAGATTAGTGCCTGTAGTGTATGGTTCCTTCCAGATTAGTTACAAAGCAAATTGTTGATGATGCTAATACAGTTATATGAAAAGGTAACATTTCTAAGATATACTGTACTGCATATGCATGAAGTAAGGCCAGTACCCGAACTGAAGATTGTTTTGTGCTGCCAGTAACTGTGTTATTTTCATAGAATCTTCACAGTGTTAATTAGTTGGTGCTACACTTTCTACCTGAAATTCCCAAAACAATGCAGAAAATTATGTTTCAAAATTGCAGCTGAACTATAAAAAGCAGAAGGGTGAATGCATTCATGTCCTTATAATCTGTTTTCTGACAGGCAGCAGGAATGTTCAGTATAGCAATTATCTCAGTCTTAAACAATGTTGTGATGAACAGAAAAAAATTCTGAAGTACATAAATGTATTAACAAACATCAGTCTTAAGGAGTGAATGCCAAAATTCACAGCTGCAAAACACTGCACCTCGAAGGTGTTTAAACAGAGCAAAGGAAACCAGCTTTTTCAGAGCTGAACAGTTTGATAATAATGAGATGCTATGGGTCTCACACAAACAGTGAAGGTCTATAGTGCAAAAAAGAACGTAACCCATTTCTTTTCCTAAAACACTGAACCCAATTTGAAGAATGAAGATTTCCCCAATTGAAAAACAACTAACAGATGTAAGCCCAAATTCTCTCCCTTCATCCGTGTAACAACTGGAAATTGGCTTTCAACTTTTATATTGAGATACACCCACAAGACAACAATCATTTCTAGTGATGCTTTACACTTCTGAATATGCCCTTACTTTGGAATTTGCATGTAACCTATATGAAGTATTTATTTATAAAATAGTGTAAATCATAATTATTTCATGTATGTTCCACAAAGCTTGATTTGTAATACTTACACACACATCAGGGATGCAAAATAAATAGTACTTGACTAGTTTTTCTTTTCCTTTTTCTTTTTCTTTTTCTTTTTTTGCTTGTAGTCATTTAAGTATTTACAGCCACACTGACTTTGACAGAGCTTTTTCTAGTCACTTTTTTCCTTAAGAACAAGTAGTATTGAGTAATAATAATGAGTAATGTCAAGAGACAGGAATGATGTGGAATGAGCCACTCCAGGCTTTTGGGTAAATAAACATGTATTTTAATTAATTTTGATGACAGAGTCTGCATTTTTTCTTTTCATATGAAAAATAAAATAAAAAAAAGCAACGTGATTTAATAAAGCACTTTCCTCCCAAAAAGTACCCTGTATGTCTGTACATACTTACATAAAATGAAAGAAAACATGTTTTGTAACAGGCAGCTGAAATGCTGATACAGTTTAAAAACATTAAAAAGGATTACAAACAACCAAATCATGCAGAGCATGCCTGAAGTACGATTTGTCCAATCTTGTGTTATGCACAGTGCACACACATGAGCTGTGCAATTAGAGGTGGGAAATCACAAACTAATTTACACCAGGAAAAAGAGATGATCAAGTTAAAAATCAAGAAGAAATACGCTCAAAAAAACATCCACACACAACACCATTCGTCACGGCAGAAAGAATCAGAATAAGAATGGATAACATCTCCACACTGAGCTCTCCAGGCTTGCCTAGAGAGTAACACCATTGGAGAACACACTTCTCTGTTGGTTTTGCATAGAGACACAGCCTACTGTGAAGGCAGAGCAAAACCTTATGGAATATTCTTAGACATGAACTAGGCTGGCACAGGTAGAAATCCAGTAAACACATTCAAGGCCAGGACAGTTTTTTCCAAAACACTGTCACTCTGCTCTGGAGAAATTAAAGGTTTAGATTTTAGGAGACTAGAGAGATAAATCATTAATGACAGTTTCTGGGAAAAAAATACAAAAATGCTAGAAGGTGTTAAATACTGGCTGTTCAGAGGTGGCAGCAAGCAGATTTACAAACTTGGAAAATATATAGCGTAGGAGTCAGAAGAATTTGGGGTTAAGTCAAAATGCTTTATGCTTCTGACAGCAGAAAGTTAATAAAGAAAGTGATGACACATCTTTATGTGTAGGGACACAGGTAAAAGTCCTATAAATTTATAAGCTCGCAGTTGATGAATATTATGTTGAACAGTCAATATAATTAGATACAGAGGGATTTAGATCATTACAATTATTAAATGACAAATACGGGTTAATACAGATAAGTGAAGGATGATATAATGGCTACATGCCAATGGAGAGAATGTTTGCACAACATTAATGGTGAAATGTG